AAGCCCAGGAGTTTGAGGTTGCTTTGAGCTGTGACACTATAGCACTCTACCCAGGGTGATAGCTTGAGGCTCTGTCTCCAAAAAACAAACAAACAAAAGTTAGTGGGGCAATGACAATATATAAAGAAAAAATGTTCTGGATGGAGGAACGCTTCATTTGGCAGTTTCCTCCAATAAAAAGAATTTACAGGCTTAATTATTAAAGCCTATATTATTAAATTCTTAAATCATCAAGCTCTTCAGAGGAACAGGAATCCGGAATCAAGCTTGGTCTGAATTATTCACCTCATTCAGGTGGATCTGCTCTTCTGGGAAGAGCAGTTAATGTCAACAAGAAATTGGCACGCTTGCCTTTGTAAGCAGAAACTATCCTTTATTTTCCTTTGTCAAGCCCTAGGAAACCATTTCTAAGATCTTCCTTAGGAATGGAACCTTCCTTAGACAAAATCATAAAGGATGTGAAGTCCCTTTATTCCAACCTCACTTTTTTCTCGAAAAAAAAAAAAATGACAGTCTCATTATGTCATCCTTGGTAGAGTGCTATGGCGTCACAGCTCACAGCAACCTCCAACTCTTGGGTTTAAGCGATTCTCTTGCCTCAGCCTCACAAGTAGCTGGGACTACTCTTGATTTTTCGCCTCAGCCTCCTAAGTAGGTAGGACTACAGGCGCCCACAACAATGCCCAGCTATTCTTTTGTTGCAGTTGTCATTGTTGTTTAGCAGGCCCAAGCCAGGTTCAAACCTGCCAGCCCCAGTGTATATGGCAGCACCCTAATCACTGAGCTACGGGAGCCAAGCCCCTCAATTGTTTTTATTTGTTTTTCCCCATCTCTATCCCAGGATAACTTTAAATCAATGTTCAGTCTCTAAAAGCAGCACCATTTTTACCTAATCCTAATTGTGAACAAAAGGTTCTGTTCCTCTATAAATATGATTTCAGACAACAGCTACCACATCTGTGCCTATTTATGTGTGTGTGTGTGTGTGTGTGTGTGTGTGTGTGTGTGGAGAAGGGAATACATCCTCCCCTGCCCTCAGGAATCCTACTTGGTTACTCCTCTTACCCTGGCCCTACTTAGTCAAGTATTGTTGGATTTAGGCTGCCTTAAAAACACAAGAAACAAGGTCTAATTTCTATAATGCATTGTCACACTGAGAGTCTTCTCAAGTTAAGACTCAACACCTGTAACTACAAATATTGCTACATTACAAAAACCAATCATCAAGAGACATGTGGTATCTTGTGGCCATACAGTGCTGCCTGAACCAGAGCGCCAGAGTCATGAAACAGCAGGTTAAGAGTGTTTAATCATCACACAAATGGTCAAAGTTAGATTTTCCTCAAGGCCCACTGTCATGATTTTGCTTTGACCTTCTCAAATTTTAATAGGCTGACTCATATTAGGGTGACTTCCAGCATCTTTGACTTCAGGAATCCTTTCTTTTATCATCCTTCAATTACCCGTTAGTCATTTGGGGCTTTGGCAATTTCTGCAGGTTATCATCTCTTCCCTGTAAATGAAGAGGCAACCCAGGAGGTTGTTAAACAAATTCTATTCAGTAGCTGGAAAAGTAAACTTCCTGTGGAATGACAGGAATTACATAGAAGCAAGCAATTTTATTTTCTTCAAATGTAGCAATAATTTTAATCTGTACATACATAAAACAAACAGTGCAATTATAAAACCTTGAAGGTGACATGCATATCTTAAGGTGCAGTTGGGATGGGGGAGGATGTTAGCATCTCCAATTTTCCTTACCACTTCCTTTTCTAGTTCCTTATGCAAAAGCACTGAGTCAGGAAACTTCATCTGGAATGCTGAAGTTAAAGGTGAACTTCCTGAAGTCTGCACGTTTAAGTATCACGAACAAAATGGAAATGACCTTCTAGAGCAGTTTGGTAGGGACTAGAATATGGCTGGGCTTTCAAGCTGGAAATGAATGAATTCAGGGATGCATTTTCTGAAAAACTAAAAGAAATAATGTTTGTAACTGAGTGTCCTATTTCTGTTTCATAGTTGCTACCCACATGAGCCCTTCCACCAATCTTTTTATTCAGTATAGTTTCTGAATAGATGCTGTTCAATGAAGTTATCTGTTAACTAGGGGTGGTGAGATGCAGAAGGAAGGACCTGGGAAAATGGCTTCTTCCTTGAAGTCTGAGTCCACGCTCCTCTTCCACTGATATTTCTTATGGCCTCTTCTCTGCCACGGAAGCAGAGGTAGCTGGTGTAGAACGTAGGACACTGTCATGCTCCACAGGCCCAGGGATGCAGAGGAAGGTGAGTGACGAGCGTCTACCTTTGCTTCTTCCACAACACCTTTCTCAAGATTTCCTGGCCTTGCAGTGGAACTTCTAGAACTAGAAAGTCAGTTCACTGGGTCCTTGACTCAGAGGCCAGGATGAGATGGGATGCGGCAGGATGACAAGACACAAAGGGAAAATAAAGGTACCAATTAGCCTCAGAGCAGGGTACAGAAATTTATATTTGTACTGAAGAAAATTCAAATTCCCAAAGTCAATCGAAAAAAAAGAAGATTTTGAGTACTAATTTTTCTCTGTACAAGTAGCCTGTGTACTTCTGATCAGATGATCCCAGGGACACTCTAGAGCAGTACGCTCTAGCTCAGCTCTTTCTGGAACAGCTCTTTCTGTTAGGGGCATTTCGATTTGAACCCAAAATAAATCCATACTTCGTGTCACAGTTATTAAAATAACAAAATAGTACTAGCCAAATGGAACTGCAATTCAATCAATGTTATATTTCACGCACAAATTTAGAAAAATCAAGAGTATAATAAAAGCATAAAATTAAACAGAAAGAAATCAATTTCTACAAGAAATCAAATGCATTTACAGACAGATTTAAAGGGAAAAATAAGCTACTTGTATCATAAATTTAATTTTATTTTAAATAACTTTAGCTACCTCAGCTGTTAATATAATAAAAGCAGAAAGAACAGGCTGCTTTTTTTCTCCCTAGATTTAATCAGAAAATTATATCTACAATAATTGACGGAAATCTCTTCTTGTCCTTCACCCATCTCATCAAAAATTATTGCATTTTCCCCCAAATTGTATTTTTTGGATTCCTCTGTGAATATACTCATTCCATCCTCTTTCCTGGAGGCATCTTGGTTTAAATCCATCTTTAAAAAAAGGAGAAGGGGTACATATGTGGAGGCAAAATATTCTCTTGAAGCCAACAGATACAGAGTTGCTAGAAGAAGCTGATTGTACACACGAGTCGCCTGGGGGCGGGAGAGGGAAGGGCTGTTGATTTCGAGAAACATGACAGCCTTTGGTGGCCAGGCACAGGCAAAGCCCCACATGCCCTCCTTCCTGGGCAGGGCTGGGACTGAGCGGCAGAGGCGGAGCTTCATCTTCCTCTGGAAACTTGTCCTTTTGGTTCTCCTCCAGAAGCCTTCATCCAGATAAGAAGCCAATGACTGATTATAAAAATAAGAATAATTAAATTTGGCTCAAGAAATAGATTGTCCAACTGTTCTGCCTTGTAATTTTTTTCAATATCCAAGGCTTTTACAAAGAAAGAAACAAAAACATCTTTCAATCTCCCAACAAAAATGAACTTTTTTTAAAATTTTTTTTTTTTTTGCTCCAAATGCTACGACCTGAAGAATGGCTGCAGATTGAGATATCAAAAATCTCAGAAAAATATATAATATATTTGTATATCTCTGTATGTCTATTATTTAAATTTCACATTCCTTTAAAAGTGGTTATTCAGTCAGTAGCTGCTGAAGGAGGCTCTTCTGCTGGGCCTGGGGGGTCTGTGGTCCTGACGTGGGTTTTTGAGTTCCCAGTGGACCAGGCTGGTTCAGGTAAGGGTCCCCGCCTACCAGATTCACTGTACACTGGACGTCAGCAAACACCTGAACCTGTTGCACCTGCTGGAACACAAATAAAAGATGTGTTTAGACAGAAGGGTCTGCCCCCCCGGCTTATGAGTGGGTACTACTTGAAGTGGAAACTCACTAGAGCATTCCTCTAGTCTGTAGTCACCACAGAGAAGAACTCTTCTGTCTTCTTGTCCTACAAAAAGAAAATCGCTGCACTCATTTTGCTCAGGGTTCTGGAAAGTTCACACTTTAAAAATAAAATCAAAATTGGAATGGTCACGCCTCCTATAGGGTTGCCATCAATACTGCAGGTAAGCATCATCGCTAATATTGCCAAGATTGGGAAAAGCCCAGTTTTAGGAGTCTGGGTATCCAGTGGTGGGTTTTAAAAAATACATATTATTTGGAAAACTAGCTTAAAACAATTCTATGGATGACTTCAGGAGGATAAAAAAATCTTTACAATGTCACCGAAAAATTAAGGGCTTTAACCCAGTATTAGCAAAATAAACCACCACAACTCAATAATGGACATCAGCATCTAAGGTTAATGTCCAAAAGATTTGTGTAATATCTAAATATATTACTGAATAGCTTCTTCACATATTGGCTTTAGAATTACAGCAAAATATCGGTAGAACAATTTGATATTTGACTTTTTTCCTGATAGACAATCTGTTTAAACACATGAGCTAAAACAATAAATCTACTAGCTGAGAACAGTGTGAATTTTCCCTTTTTAAAAATTATTTCCAGTAATAATATACTTATTCTTTAAAAATGTCTAAAATTGCATAGTTCTAGCATATTCTCTTGGGAAAACAAAGCCAGAAGTTAGTCTTTACCAATAAGACTTATTAAAAAGTTGTAGAACTGAGTAAGACCAATACCACACTGTAAATGCTATAGACCAGGAATGGTGATGCCTCCTAAGGCATTGAAATATGTCTAATTAAATCTCAAACTTTTGGCAAACATGTGCCTTATGTTTAACAGTTCATAAAGTATTTTAAATTAATGATGAATTTTTGGTCATTTATCACTGATTCATGCCAATCTCAGCTTTTATGAGAACTTTTCTATCTAATCAAATAGAAGTTGCTTTCCATCAACCCTCGTTAGCCAAATGTCAAACGTCTTGACCATCAAATTTCTTTCTCATTCTAGCCCCTGGGCTCTTACTGCCTTAATCAATTTACATCTCTACTTTACTCCCTCTCAGAGAAGGCAGACAGCCCAAATTGAACTTTTTCTGTGCCTGATGAGTTAAGTCTCTAGGTAGGTCAGCACTGTTCTCACTCTTCTCTTTCTCTAGTTTCCCAAATTTTGTTTCTTGCCCCCCTATAAAGCTCCTATTTGTTATTGTCTTCTTTGGGCTCTTTCTTGTGTATATAAAACTCACCAATGCGGGCTGTGCCTATTCTTCAGCTTGTGCCCTCCCCCCCTTCTGTGCTCTATAATTTTTCATTCTGTCTCTTCTGCTTCCAGAGCATCACTGAACCTTCCTTTCTCCTTTGGTCAACAACCCCCCACCAGCTGTCTACCCACTTCTCTGTGTTTTCTTCCTCCTCTCTTCTTTGTCTTGCTTCTGCCCCACTGCAGCTCCCCAGTACAGCTAGCCCCCTAGTCCTCCTCTCCTTTTCCTTTTCTTCTCCTTTTCCATATGTCTGTCTCTGTATTTCTATCTAACTCATCCTCAGCTTCTGTTTGGGAAACATAAAAACACTGGTGCAAATACAGATTCCAACACAGGTTATAACAGGAAGAAGACTATGCTACTGAAACTTCACATAAGCACAAACTATAGTACTTCTGACGAACTGATTTATTTTAAAAATACCAAAATATAAAATTTCAGGCCAGGTGCAGTGATTCACACCTATAATCCTAGCACTTTGGGAGGTAAAGGTGGGAGAATCACTTGAGGCCAAGCATTCATGACCAGCCTGGGTAACACCAATACCTCATACCTATTAAAAAAAATTAGGTGGGCATGGTGGTATGTGCCTGTAGTACCAGCTACTCAGGAAGCGGAGGCAGGGGGATCATTTGAGCCCAAGGGTTCAAGTTGAAATGAGCTCTGATTACACCACTGTACTTCAGCCTGGGTGACACAGTGAGACCCTTTCTGTTCGTCTCTTGAAAAAAAAAAAATCATGTTTAAGGCCAGGTGTAGTGACTCATGCCTATAATCCTACCACTCTGGGAGGCTGAGGTGGGTGGACTGACTGAGCTCACAGGTTCCAGATTAGCCTGAGCCAGACTGAAACCTCATCTCTAAAAAAAAAAAAAAAAGTAGCCAGGCACTGTGGCAGGCGCCTGTAGTCCCAGCTACTTGGGAGGTTGAGATAAGAGATTCACTTGAGTCCAAGAGTTTGAGGTTGCTGACACCACAGCACTCTACCCAGGGTGACATAGTGAGACTCTGTCTCAAAAAAAAAAAATTAAGTGTTTTAATATTGGGGTAGAGCACAGGTATTTTTTGTCCAAAAATATTTAAAAACATTCTTGAGAAAGGCATGACAAAACAAACAAGAGATAAAATTCTGCTTCTTTAAAAAGAATGCCTATGTTGGAAATTATTATTTTTTATGTCACCGGTGCTTGGTAGAGTACCATGGTGTCACAGCTCACAGCAACCTAAAACTCTTGGGCTTAAGCGATTCTCTTGCCTCAGCCTCCCAAGTAGCTGGGACTACAGGCACCTGCCACAGTGCCCAGCTATTTTTTTTGTTGTTGCAGTTATCATTGTTGTTTAGCTGGCGCTTTGGCTGGGTTCAAAACTGCCAGCCTCAATGTATGTGGCCAGTGTATGTGCACCATAACCACTGTGCTACAGGTGCTAAGTCGAAATTTTTTAAAAATTGAAAAAACTAAACCAAACTCTAAAATACATTTGAGCCATTTTGAACAGTTACTTAAAAGGGGGCGGGGGTATCTTACACCAGACCTCAAAAAACTTCATATATTGCCATACCTGCCTAGACAAGCAAAGTTTAACACAAAAGCAGCTTCAGTTAGCCAGGTGAGAAGAACGGAGTGAGAGCTGAGTCCCAACCTCTGAAGATTTCCCAGCATAATTTTACCTTGATTTAAATACTGCCCTAGGCTCCAGAACTTTAAAATTTGGTTGTTTTGCTTCAACTATCTGTTGAGCTGCCTAGGACATTGCTCTGTAGACATGAGACTTGAAAACTTGGTGAGTGAAAACACTTCATTTCTCCCATCTCAAAATGCCTTCTCCAGACTCCCACAGGATTCAGATTCTATTTTCTAATGCTCAGACGATGGCCATCGCCTTCTAACTGAACTTTCTCCTCCTGAGCCCAGTGTGCCTTCCTTCACCTCCCCCATCCCAAGATGAAGCTCATCATTGTCCTCTTAGGGAGGACTCTTCATCTATAGAAGTAAATCCAAATCCCTTAGTTTAGCATTCAAGGTCCCTGAAATTTGTCCCAGTCTACTTTACCAATTTTAATTCCTATGAATGCTTATTATAAACAATATCACTGGGTTTGGTTCCCCAGTCAATGCTCAGATATTTAAGATACTACTAGTTCCTTGTCTTTGTGTCCTCTAACTTCCAATGCCCTCTACTTCTAAACCCACCTCCTGCACCAGCCTCCAAAAACTACATACCTTTCTTCTTTGCTTTGCCTTGGCAACCATCCTTCAAGGCCCAGTTCAGTCTTTTCTCCTGTATAAATGCTCTTCAGACCATCCTGGCAATTTCTCCTTTCTTTGGATGCTATGATTCTTACTACTTAGATTTGGTAACTTGCTTTCTTTTTGGTTATATGACAATTTATGTGCATAGATGTCTATATGTTTTATCTTTCAACATACCCTAAGTGGTATGGCACAAGCAGCATAGACTTTGGTGTTAGAAAGACCTGGGTTTGAACCTCAGCTTTTCTTCTTGGAGCTCAGAGACGAAACAGTTTGTACCTCTTTCATGGGGTTATAGTGGTGAGGCATAAGTGAGATAAAGCACACAGTGCCTAGCACAGGGCCTGACAACCATAAGCATTTCACAAATGAAACTTCCTTTCTTTTTAAATTTTTTTGAGACACAGTCTCATTCTGTTACCCTGGGTAGAGCACCATGGCATCATAACTCACAGCAACCTCAAACTCTTGAGCTCAAGAGATCCTCTTGCCTCAGCCTTCCAAGTAGCTGGGACTACAAGGAAACTTCCTTTCCTCACTTCCCACAGTTCACCTAAACAGCAAGGAACATATCTTTATGTCTCTTCCCATCTCCATCTGTAACATAATGTCCGTGTTAAAAAAAGAAATTATAAAGAGACTAAACTTATAGTTACCAAAGTGAATTAAAGCCTCTCTCCAAAATTTCTAAACTAGGTTAACATAAAAAAGTAGCCACACATAATTCTAAGGAGGCAGAACACATAGAAGGCACTCTTTTTTAATCTGAATTTACTGAGATCTTTTGAGGTGCTAGGATTACAGATGAATTTTAGTATTATGTTTATTTATAAATGAACAATCAGTGGCCACCTCTTGTGATCCTTTTAGGCTGTCTAAGCACTGAGTTAATCTTCTGAAAGCTTATCTCATTTAACCCTCTTGACAATTCTATAGCCACACAAACTTGTTGTGTGGTTATACAGCAGCTCACAGTAAAATAAATAGCTAGAAAGAGTAGAGCCAGGACTCACAGCCAGGTCTCACTCCCAAGGTCAGGCTCTTAATGATGCTACACAACATTCTCTGTATATCTAGAGTACCTGTGATAGCTCTGGGCTTAGAATTTTCTTACTGACCTGGGTTCCATCTGCTTCTGTTTTGAGAAGGTCAGTAGATGAGAGCTGGTTGCAGTAGAGGCCTGTGTGTCTCAGTGCTGGATCACTTATCTATTAGAGATAAATAATAAGACCAAATTATCACCTAGTTGCTTAAAGACCAGATTCTTTCTTTTTTTTATTTTTATTTTTTTTGAGACAGAGTCTTACTATGTCACCCTCAGTAGAGTGCCATGGCGTCACAGCTCACAGCAACCTCCAACTCTTGGGCTTAAGCAATTCTCTTGCCTCAGCCTCCCAAGTAGCTGGGACTACC